CCTTAGACAGCCAAGTAAAGATGTCTAGTGGGCAATTAAATGTATGTCTGAAGCTCAGGGGAAAGGTAGGGCATGAGATATGAGTTAGCAACATGTAACTATTTTGTAGCCCCCAAATTGGAGTAGAGCATAGAACAGGGAACAGGACCCAGGGTCTTTCTGGAGTTCAGAGTCCCTGTTTCTCTCCTTGTGAGACTCTGTTGAGTCAGAGGTGTGTGGATTTAGCTGTTTTCTTAGCACTTGGGGCAAAGCATTGGCCAGAAGGATGTCCTAATGGTTACCTGCTGAGGTATGAGTCAGACACATCCGGATTTTGATTCTAACTTCGTCATTGGTCAGGTGTGTGACCTTGGGGAAATTGCTTAACATCTTCAAACCTGTTTTTTCATTCTTAAAAGGGGCATGTTAATGATAATGAATGGAATGTAACAATGCCTGTTACTTAGTAAGCTTTTAATAAATCCTAACTATGAATACTAAGATGATCATACTTATTGTTAATATTAGGAACTCACTGATTTCCCCTTCCTCCTCTACTCCTTCTTCCTCCTTTTGGGTATCAATAAATTTGGAAGCAAAATGATTACTTGTATAACTTTTTGCAATATCTTACTCGATCAGAGAATAATTCTAGTTTTACAACTGATATTATACTTAGTTACTGTTTATTTACATAGATTGTATCCTAATTGCATTTAATATCTTAAACTCTTCTTTATAAAGAAAAAATTTGACCTGCACAAAACATGTTTGGTCAATAAATGAGTAATTTTGAAACTAATCAGTTCATAAGAAGCCATCATTCATGTGCTTGTCTAATTTTCATCTTGCTTCCCCCAAATTTGGCGTCCTTAATCTACTTGGAGTATTCAGTTTTAGTTTGAAGATGCATCTGAGTTTTTTTTAATGGTAACTAGGATTCAAAAAATCTTCATGTACTTACCTTTGTAAGTAGAATGAGATTTGAAATGAGAGATTATATATAAAATCTCATACAGAATATATCACATGAAGTACTCTTGATGTATCTTTGATGATTTAAGTCAGACATCAGGAGGATAGAACATGAGAATTAGTGAGATGGTAGTGATGGTGTTAAGCACTCAAAGATCAAATATTTTTATAAAGGGAAAATTTTTTTCTGCATGCATGCATGTATTCATTCATTTGAAATTAATTTTTAAGCATCCACTATGTGATAGGTGCCAAAAGTATCAAGCCACATGAAGAAATCTCATTGTTCTCAAGAAGTTTCCATCTAGGAGAGGGAGACACACACACACACACACACACACACACACACACACACACACACACTCTGAAGTGATGTAGATGTTATTATAAAAATCTCTTTAGAAAAATGTAGGAAATCCTACATCTAACTAATTTAAAAATATGACACAGATATGGGTATAACTGGGTACATTTCCTGTAGCTTGAAGTTTCTCTGTAATTGGCCAAGGAGAGCATTAACAGCCAGCATAAAATGACTGGTGTGTGTTGACCAAGAGGAGAGGTGCCTGTCAATGACTGAATGAGGGGAATGTTTGTTTCCTTGTATTGTCTGGAATGGCAACAATGAGGACCTAGAGCACTGTGGGAAGCTTTTAAATATTTAGTCTGTGCCAATCCACAATTGAGGTATTTGTGTATTTAACTTGATAGAGAGATGAATTATATATGGGAGCCTTTTCCCATCGTTTGCTCAACTTGTGTTGACAAACATCCCATCATTCTCCAGGAAGCACATGCCATGGGGATTACTGCAACATTCTGCAGACAATTATTTGCAGGGTTTTCATCCCATATGCTGCTTTCCCTTCACCACAGGTGCCTTTTTATTTATTAAAACACAATCGCCGAACAGGGAACTTTTCCAGACTCCCTTTTTTTAAAGTGACATTTTAGAGCTCAGGTCAAATGTACCCTCTGTGAATGTATACAGTTGGCCCTCTCTATCTGCAGTCCTGCATCCATGGATTCAACCAACCACAGCTTGAAAGATATTTGAAAAAAAATTAAAAAGTACAACAATAAAAATAAAGCAATACAGTATAACAACTATTTATGTAATATTTGACATTATATTATAAATAATCTAGAGATGATTTAAAGCATATTTGACATTATATTATAAATAATCTAGAGATGATTTAAAGCATATAGGAGGCTATATGCAAATACTGCAGGATATTATAGAAGAGACTTGAGCATCCACAATTTTTGGTATTCATGGGGTCCTGGAAACAATTCCTTATAAATGCTGAGGGACGACTGTAGTTCTCACCAAGATTTTGTTTTTTGAAGCATAAGGAAACTCTTAGCTAGTCAACACAGTAGTCAATAATTCCATTGAAAATTCAGTTTTACTTAAAAGAGAAATATATTGTCTCACTTAAAACTGAAAGCTGAAAAGTTTATAATTCTATGCCAGTTGTCAGGGTATTAGATTAGATCCTGTATATCTTTCTATTGATATTCTTGGCTCTATCCACATGTTCTTTCTTAGCCACCTATCCAGGCACACAATTTTGTTGATTACTTAATTTTCAAAAGAGCATATCAGCTCTATCCTCTACTTAGTTGACTGTAAGAATATAGGATTAGGCCTTGAGCTACCACAGTGGAATATCTCATTTGAAATTCTAGGAATTTGATATGAAATGAAGCTTCAAGTTCTCTGCTATCTTACTCTAAATAAAAGTCTACTTGTAAGAAATAACATTAATGGAGGCCTGCCTAAGGATACACAGTTAATTAGTTTCTCTGTCCTTGGACCAAGTTAGATAATCTGAGAGCTGCATAGCTAGATTGCACTATCTTGGTGCTCACAGAGCTGCTCTTGTAGAATTGCACTTGGTTTGCATTTAGGGGCCCCATTAAAAAAAAATCATATGACATTTCTTAATGTGTTTACTCCAAAGGTGGTAACAAACATTTATGGAAGCATGAGAAAAATTTATCAGATTTTGTGACTAGAATTAATTTTTGCCCCAGCAGACTGGGTTATTTATCTTCATTTTGAGAACTCTGAGAATCATATGGCAGCTCAGAGTTCCTTCCTTGCTCTGGCTGGTAGGAATCTCAAATTTAAAACCCACCTCTAATGAGTGCACAGGAACTTATGGTATGCATGAGGTTTGTACTAACCTTACTTCAAACTTTATTTCATTTTTCCATTCATGATTTCTTGTCTTTATTTACTTATTTACACTTGTATTAAATGCATTTTGTTAATTTATTTTGAACCTAAAAGAACTAGAAGCACACATGCACGTATACCACACAATGTCATTTTTGGTCATTATGCAGTGAAAGATCTAGGGAATTAACTGAATTGGTCCCTTTCTGTGCAAATGTTTGATCTACAGCAAATTTTCCTTCTATTTCTAGATTTTTAAAATGTAAAAGTGGATATATTGGCTCACTTTTTTTGTGCAAGATTAGTGTGCATGGAGTTTAGGAATAGAGTGAATTTCTGACTACCTGGAGGCAAGATTTGGAATATACTACTAGGACTGACTTATCCTGTTCTCACAGTTTGTACCCAAAGGCATTCATCTCCTAGAATCATACACTTATAGAAGAACCTTGAGACTAATAATGAAATATTAGTCCAAACTCTCTTCTCTATTTAATTGTTTAATTTTGATTTGGGGAGTCAGATGGTACTGGGTTCAAATTCTAATTATTCTTTTAGAAGTAATATAGCATTAACACAGTATACTGAACTCATCTCTACCTCTCATCAAATACTTAATCTTTAAATGAGGGCTAATAATTCTTATATCCCAAGATTACTCTGAATGTTAAACAGAGTAATGGACTTAGCAATGTGTCCAACACACAGAAGATAACTCATTAATTGGTGTATAATATAACTGTGACAACCACTGCTATTAACCTTAGATAATCTACTTCGTATTTACTCCTGCACTTGCCTTCTTTGGGTGCCCTGCCTACCAATGCAAGGTTCTAAGCAACATTTAGTTCATCATTCATTCATGTATTGTACCAGGAACTTCTAGGCACTGAATACCTCCCTCAGGGAGCTTGTAGTGCAGGTTGAAGAGAAATAAAATTTCAAATAGTGACAAATGTTAAGAAGAAAATAAAACAGGAGCTTGAAAGAGAGACTGACTTCAGTTAGAGGTCTAATTTAATTTGAGTGGTCAGGAAAGATTCTTTTGTGGAGATGGCATCTTGGATGAGATCTGAAAGGTGAGAAGACATTGGGGAAGAACATTCAAAAGAAAAGGAACACTGAATGGAAAGGTCTTAGAATAGGAATGAACTTGGTGTATTTCGAGAACAGAAAGAAGGCCAGTAGGGCAAAATGAAGTAGGAAGAGGTCACATCTTAGTGATGAGTTTGTCCTTATTTTTTTGTTTTTGCTTTTCAGCTGCAATGGGAAGGCACTGGAAAATTTTAAGCAGGTGTGTGAAAAGATCTGATACTAACTTTAAAAAAAAATCCCTTCCTTAAACAATATGCAATATCTGGGCTCCATCTTCCCAGGCTTTTCTTCCCCCACCCCCTCAACCCCCTCCCAATCCCTCCCGCCCTAGCCCTCCAGGATTTTCTGTCTGCTCAGAAATTCCTTAATCATGTCTTCATCCTTTGGTGAGCTCTTAACTATCTATTTATCAATGTCCAACTCAAATGGATCTGGTGACATCCCACCTTTCTGTCTAATGCATGATTACTCTGTCCTTTAGTTACAGGGACACAAACTTCTATCATAGTGCCAAGAATACTTTTTTATTGTGATCAGGATGCCTTCATCTCTTGTAAGACTGAATTTCTTGGGGGTGGGTGGCAGCATTGTGTTTTATTTATCTCTGAGTCTCCAGGACTTAGAAAGATGTTGGCACAGAGAAGATGCAGAACGTGTTGCTTGAGTTTTAGCATTATATTATACAAATAGAACTGCTCTGACTGAGTCAGGAAATTGAAAATTAACTAAATTTTGAAATTAGAGGTAGCCAGGTGGGGCATACTAGCCTCGTCGGCAGAGTTCCAGGTCTCTTCTTTAGGCTGCATCTGTGGGCCACTGTACATTCAAAGAAACTTCGGTTCAGCTGAGGCTTTGCTGCTCCTAATGACATGGACACTGATATAACTACATTCTGACTGATTTTCAAAGAAATAGACATTCCGCTTCTGACAAAAAATATAGAAAGACTTGAGCTTCCACCCCTTCTAACACTATCCCAAAATATACATTCACAATGCTAGGAATTAATCTTCAGCAAGCCAGAGGCCTTGGTAGACTGGGACTCATTTTTTGAGAAATATCACATTCTGTGAGATCTCAACCCAAAAGGACAGGAGCCCCTGCAAAATTTATTCTCCAAGTCACTGCTGCCTCTGGGACTGATGCAAGCCATACCCTAATAAATCTTCCACTAAGGCCTCTTTCCTTCTGTTTGCCCCTTGATCCTATCACCTTTGTCTTCACTCCACAGGATTTATTTTTTTCTCCTCCTCTTTTTCCCCTTATTGCAATAACTTGTCAGCTTGCAGAACACTTTCTCAGTCTTATGCTTCAAGACAGAAGATCAGCTTAAGGAGAAAGGCTTGTCCTCCCTAAATACTCTACTGTCAGATCCCTCGTCACTCTACACTTAACACCACTTTCCCCCATGTCCTCCCCAAATTCCACACTTAAAACTAGGATTCCTCCTAGAAATCTCCCAGAAAGGATTGGACTGGTTGTGAGAGATTTTGGTATGAAGCTGGAAGCTGTTCAATATTCCTACCTGGAAAAGGAATCATACTCTTTTCTTCTATTTTAGCTAGCAATTCTTGAAAGTTTACTTTGGGGAGCCTAGTAACAATTCCTACCTAGATATCCTTTCCTTAGTGCCACTTTAGGCAAAACAGAGGATATAGGAAAAATGACTTGGAGAAAGTAGAGCATATGTGTGATACATTTGCTTGATGGTATTCATTAGTCGGACCTTCAGACCCCACCCCATTCCCTACAGCTTGGTTCAAGTTCCTCTTTAGACTCCTCACCAATTATCCCCACATAAAACCTTTGCTTCAGCTACATGGCTCAATTACCTTGAATGCCTTATCTGTACTCTTATCTCTGCTTCTTTGCAAATACTACTTCCTCTATCTGACAAGTTGTTCCTCCTGTTTGAATAAAACTACATTTTATTTCACTGTCAAGATTCAGTTAGAAATCACCCACTTCAGGAATCCTTCCCCGATCACCCCAACTAGGTCTCCAGTGAACATCCTTATTATTTAGTATGTCTGTAGAGAAAGGACAGTATTCTCTCTAAGTGTTAGCTTGGTGAGTTGAAGCCCCGGTTAGTCTCAACTTTTCACTTTTCAGTGAACACACCACATCTCTTCTACCACACTCCATCTCTTACTCCAAGAAGCCATTGAATGTCTGAGTTACTCCTACATAAAGGTGAAATAGACAACTTCCTACATTGTATGATATGAGGCTATAATCTGATCTGAAATATTTTTTCTTACTGGCCTTCGATTAAAGCTTTGAAGATAACTTATAAAACTGATAATATTGCAATGAAATTCTTAGAATCATAACCTGATGATTCTAAAATTTTTAGAATCATAACCTTCTAAGATGTCAGTTCTAGAGATACCCTCTTAAAATCAGCTAGTTTAACCTTGTTTTGCTTTGTTTTTTATATAATCTTTTTGTGTTTTCATCGAAGAGATTGCTTTTCAGAAAGGTAAATGAGTGCAAAAACCATATATGAAATCCAAAATATTATTTCTCAACATTATTTTTCAGTAGCATAATTCTAATTATTTGAAGGCAAATATGGCTGATATTTGTGTTCTCATTGTCTCCAATGTAATTGGTCATGTATAGAGTATAAGATACAGCTTCTTTAGTTGATAAGAATAAAAATCTATTTTGTTTAACTTAGGCAAAAATAAATGCATTTGAAGGATACTGCAGACTCACAGAATCAATGGGCGGTAGAGACTTGGACTTGAGGATGAGAAGGAAGCAAAGAGCTTTAACACCAGGAAGAGGAAGTCACAAAAGTTGCCTTTGAGTGTACCAGTCTGGTCAGAACAAGAAAGAACATCAAGTCTTTCATTATTTTCTCTCTGCTAAAGACACAGATTCCATGGAGGGCATACTTGATTGGTCTGGTTGGGGCATGTGCTTTGGCAAGGGACAGCAAGGCCTTTTCTAGTGTCCCCACCAAACTGTATCAAACAGAAAAGGAGCCATTTAAATATAGGAAATCATTTGCTATTGGGAAAAAGAAATAGATACTGAGCAGTCAACATTTACTAATGCCCACTACCACAAGAATCCTTTATTCATATAAAGGAAAGTGGACAGTATTGATAGCTACCAACTGTAGCCCACTGGCATATGTCAGGAACTTTATTTGTATTTTTTATTAGCTATTTTGGATGCATCTGTGGGGAAAATACCATCATTCCCATTTTGCACATCAGAAAATTGAAGATAAAAAAGGATAAGTCACTTCCCCAAAGTTGTATAATAAAATGCCTAGCAAAACCTGTATTCAGAGCCAGACCTGGTTGCCTCTAAAATCTGTGTTCTCACTTCTATTCTGAAACTTTATGCATGTAAAAGAGCTAATGCAATTCCCAGCACCTAAGAGATGCTCTGTCCTAAGGAACAGGAGAAGCAGGGGAACATCAATGTCACTTGCCGTTCCCTTTGTCTGCAACAGTCTTCCTCCAGAAATCCAATGGGCTTACTCCTTGACTTTATTCAAGTGTTATCTCATCAGAAAGACCTTTCTTGACAACACCATGTAGGAAACCTCCCAATCTGTTCTTTGCTTTCTATTCCCTATGTTGTCTTGTTTTTTTTTGGCATTTGACACCACCTGACATAATATGTTTGTTTATTTGTTCTCTGCCATAAAAACTAGTTCTTTGCTTTACACACTAATTTATCTTCAGCATCAAGAATAGTGCTTGATAAATATTTGTTTGATAAGCAAAAAAAAAAAATGTAATTAGAAGAGCAATTCACAGCTTTGCTTCTAACCTCCAGTGTAGCTTTGGTCCAGTTATTTATCTCTCTAGGCTTCAGTTATAAAAGGAAAATGTTGAGCCAGATCAAGCTTGCCTCTGTCCTTTGCCCTGTCCTGTTTCTTGCCATCCAACTTCTGTTTACTTGTTTATTTGGTTTTGCCTATTGTGCTTCTCTTCTAGTTTTGTTTTAAAGAAAGAATTTTTGTATCAAAAAAAGTGATTGAAAGACACTAGACTAGATGATTCCTAAAGATTCATATCTCTACAAAAGTATATAGATATGTCAGTATAAAGGGCTAATAGACTTCCCAAATATATTGCAAAGAAAGTTTTTCAAAGAACAATTATGTGTTTCTTATTGGAAAAAAATAAAACATTCCTCACCTCCTATACTTCCAACTCCCAAATTTCAGGAAGCTGGTAGGTGACTTGCAAAGTTCATTTTCTCATTTCAATTACCAAAAGCTCTTTACCGAGTCCATTTTATTACTTTAATTAACATAATAACCCTGAAAAGTGGGAGGTTATGAAATATGTGAATTTAGAGCTTCTAAGATTAATAAGTCTACTGAAGTATGAAAGCTTTTCACATAATTTTTTAACTGTGTGAAGATCAGTGGTGTAGAAAGGGAGCTACACCATTCACAGGCAAAGGATGAGCACTGAGAAATTGATTTAGAGACTGTCTTTCATGTGATAAAGGCTAAAATGTCAGAGTTGACTCCTTTGAATCAGCATTTCAACCATTACTCTGTGAGGGAATGGCCTAATGGTATCACTGGTGCCACCTTGGGAGCCAATGGCCTTTGTGTAGAGCAGGTCACTGAGAGCATGCTTAAAATCCACTGTAGCTCTTTACTTCTTTTAAGGTAAGTCTTTACTCCACAACATGACTTACATGTTGTACTATAGGCTCCAGCCTCCATCTCTCTTTTCAGCCTTTTGCTACTCTTTACCTTATTCAGGCTCTTATTTATGCTTGCATTCATTCAGTCAATCAAAATTATTTATTTAGTGATTACTATGTAGCAGACTTTGGTTAGCCACTAGGGATTCATGGTGTGCAAATAGACACGTGGACCCACTCTAATGGAGCAAAGAAGAGCAAATTTGAGCCATAATGAGGTATGATGTATGTTATCATAGGGTAGGACTTTGGGTCATGGGTAAGACAAGGGGTAAACACAGCTAACCTAGGTGGAAAGAGGACTTTGCAGAGAAAGTAAGACCAAAGATAAGTAGCTTTCACATATGAAGATTCTCTGGGGTGTTTAAGTGTTAGTAGGCTCCTGTGGTAAGACACGCCAGCTCATCTGCGGACTCTCAGCTATGTCTTGGTCTCAGTCCCATCCTACAGACATTGAGTAAGAGCCTCTAGCAAGAAACTGAAGACTTCTCCTATTCCCAGAATTCTTTTTCTCAGAATTATAATAGGTATTTACCTAAGTTGATCTCCTATCAGCATGGTGGACCTTTGTTTTGCCTTTACCTCTGGCTCCTGCATCAGCCTACTGAGGTCTTGCTGTTGTCACACTATTATAGTAATTCTTCTGGCATCACTGGGCAAGACTTCCTTTCTCTGTATTAGGCATTCTCAGGGAACTACCATAGCTCACTCAGTCTTTGTTCTTTAGTCAGTGCTTTGTCTTCCCAACCCAAACCCCATACCTCACAACCTGCCATTCTAATGCATCCACAGGTCATTAAATTGTTATTAATTTTCACATGGTTTAATGGCCTGACCTTGGCTTCCTCATCCACTGTCTAGAGACTGTCCCCTAGGGGATACCTCCTTCTTGTTTCCCATGTGTTCATGCCAGCCTTTTATTCCTGGTAGGGTAGATATCATTCCTGATTCCCTTTACCTTGGTAAGGGAGAATAATTTCCACATGACCTGGCTTTGAACTTGGTATGTATGTCATCCTTGCAAAATAATCCTATTCTCCCCCTCACTAATTCTGATCACATTTTCATCTGCTTGGGACTGTGATGGTACCTTCCCTCTCCAGAACAGACATTTGCTTTCTACTTATGCCCTCTGCCCCTCATCATTTTTCTCCTTGGCAGTCCACTTCCTTAGTTGCTGACTCAGTTTTGTTTCCAACCTCATTGTCTCTTCCTGTCCTCCTGCGCTTG